AGTCGTTGCCTAGATGTGCATCAGATCGTTTGGAATAAGAGGAAGAAAAGCAGAGGAAACCAAGTTAAAATTTCAGTGATGAAGCCCATTTTAAGACTCCTTAGTAAAAGTATTCTTGATTGTTTAAACAAGTTGCGAGAGCTCCCCTCTCAATGCTGCAAGCTCCCCCAGGTCTTGTGTCTGCTGTGAGTGTGTTTGCATGTCTCTCCTTTTCTTAGAGAAATCTTAGGAAACACTGACCCAGGTCTGATCAGAACATCGCAAAGTCCAAATATCTTATTCCAAATTAACAATCTCTTGTTTTGTCTTTATTTCTTAGGAGAAAACTTGTCTTGATTTAGGTGTTTTCCTAAAATATCTGCCAGTCTTCAGGAGCCTAACCATCATAGAAATCTCGAAACCGGCGGGTAACCTTAAAATGCACATGGACACAGCAGTGGGTCTAGACCAGCGGGGCCAGAGAAGCCGCATGACGGCAATTTGACGGGGAGAGCCGGGCTGCTAGACCACAGACGGCCTCGGAGCCAGGGCACCTGCCCGCCCGCCTCCCTGGGGAGGGTGTGACCTTTGAAGGGGATCTGGATGGTTGGATGGGGTTAGGTTATAATCAGTAGGTTTACGTGATACATAAAGCTTCTTAACTTTGTGTAGTGTCCTCTTCGTGTTGTTTCTGTTTGGCTATCCTAGAGAATATTCTATGTTAAAGTGTTGGTGAAGATGGCGTGGTTGTGATGTGGCTCTCCAAAAAAAACCAAACGCAGTTTGGCCCCTGTAATTGGAGACAGCTGCCCTTGGGAGTCAGAGGAAAGGGCGGAGGCAGCCCTCAGTTTCTCCAGGAAGACAATAACCTGAATTGGAAGGCTCAGGGACACAGAGGATGGTCTTCGGAGAGCCTTCCTTAGCCGATTTAAATTTGCTGCCTTGATCTGTCAGGGCCAAGTTTGTGCTCCGGAGGTCTTCCCTCATTAGCTGTTAATCCACTCAGCAAACATTATGTGCGCAACACTCACTCCCAGATTATGAATAGGCACCGGGATGACAGATTGGGCGCAAAGATTCCAGTGTGTGTGTGTGTGTGTGTGTGTGTGTGAGTCTTCTGTCTAAAGCGCAGTGGAAAGCTGAGAGAGGCAGTTACAGTTTTTAAAATTGCAATTCAGCATGACAATTGCTACCATTGGTACGTAGGGCACTTTTTTGAGTGACAAATTAGAAAGACCACAGGAGAAAAATCTGCAGGAGCATGGGAAAGAGCTAAATTCCTAAATAACATAAGAACAAGTAAGAGCACAATTGAAGTGGGCAAAGCACGGGAGAGGGCCATTTGTGTTCGCACACACTCACACGCACACAAAATGCAAATGTCAAATAAACATGACAGATGTCCGACTTCACTCAAAATTTGAAAAAATATAAATTAAAGCAATGGCAAGATATAATTTTGCCCATTAGAGTGGTAAAAAAAAAATTTTTTTCAAGTTGTAATACACACCTCCATGCACTCTGTTGGAGGACGGTGGGAATACTTGTTGGAATTCACGTGTCTCTGCTGTATGTGGTAGAGTGTTGTTGTCCCTGGTGTCTTCCCCCATCCTGGGGGCTCCCTCCCACTGCTGTGTGTCTCCTCCTCAGGAGAGGTTCTTCCTGGCCCCATTGGCCAAGGCCCGAGGGCGGACGTGAACGGCAGGCCAGGACGCCCTGGGAGCCCCTGCACGTTTCTGCCAGCTCCCTCGTTTGCTTCCCTTTGCCACGAGCACAGTGTGTTCCAGCTGAAGGCTGCCCTTTCAGCCCGAACCCTGGAATGAAAACGTTGCTGGGAGGGGAGCCAGCAGGGCTGCAGTCGACTCGATTACCAGGATGTAACATCAGCAAGAAATAAACTGCCGTTGTTATAAAGCACTGAGATTTGGGGGGGGTTTGTGTTTCAAATTATGAACTTATTTAGTGACAGCAGACTATTAAACCTTTTTACCACAGCAATTGCAGTGCTAGTAACTAGCTTAACCAACAGACACAGTCTTACCCGCATGCAAACATTTGTGTAAGAAGAATTTCTGCAACACTGTTTATGGTAACAAAAAAACAAAAGGAAACAGCCTAAATATTCACCAGTAGGGAATGGACCAAATAAATTATGGTATATCCATATAATGGAGTACTATGCATCTGTTAAAAATGGAGTCTTATAGCTTTTTAAAATTACTTACATAATCTTATGTTACAGTAGTTACCATTCTACAACTTGATGTTTTCATGCAACATTGTATTTTTAGTATTTGTCCGTGTCAGTAGGCATATGGCTATTCTTTCATTTCATATGCTCTATGATCTTCCACTGTGTGAATACTCTGCATTTGCCATCCCGTCTCCTGCTAACGGCTAGCTGGGCAATTTATTACTTAGCTATAGTTGATGTTAAGAACAGTCTGCTGCTATGTGCGTGTGCATGTGCAGGGGTCTCTCTGAGATGTACCCCAGGAACAGAACTATCTGGCTGTACAGCACAAGCGTCTTCAGCTTTCATAGCTGTTGCTAAATTGTTCTCCTACATGGCTGTGCCCACTTGTACTCCCCTTCATTTGGCCTCATCCTCCTGCTATTGTCCGACTAGGTATTAAGACTAAAAAATATGTTACTGAGACACGCCATATTATACTCTATGTGGCATACATATTATTATGAACACATACCATGTGGCCAAAATATCTTTTCAACATGCAAGGAAATGATAAATAGTGACTTCAAGATAATAGTTACCTCTGGGGAGGGAACAGACTGAGAGTGGGGAAGCGTACACAGGTGGCCTCAAATCCCTGTATTATGTTTTATTTTTAAAAACTAAGGCAATATGGTATACTGTTAAGATTTGATAAAGCTGCAGATTTACATGCAAATATTTTTATGTTTTTTAATCTGTATGTTTAAAATATTTGCTTGTGTGTAAATATGATCACATATACACAAAGAAACATTTTAGGACATTTTAGAAACCTTTAGGTTACTCCTGGGAAGTGGGTTGAGAAGGACCTTTTACTTGTCACTTTATTCCTTTCTTTGGTGGTTGAATTCTTTTAGAAACATGTATCAAGTTCGTGAATTTAGAAATGAGAAGAACTAGTCCAGTCTCAGCCACTTTCTGACTGTATGGAGGAGACAAACGCGCTCAAGCTCTCGGAACCTGTTTTCTCGTCTGTGAAATATAGTTAGAGCGGCTCCTCTGCAGAGCTGCTGCGAGGATTAGACGTTATTCATATGCAACACCTAGCAGAGTGCCTTTACATAGTAGGCACTAAATAAATAATATTGTTTCCATTATTAATAAGAATGTAGCATATGCTCTGGCTGCAAATTTACTCACCCTGAAATGTACAGCGAAAGCAGATGTAGGCTTTTTATTTCTCAATAAACGTTCTTCCACATGAGCCCCCGTGGGAGGAACGGAACGGATCTCCGAGCCAGGAAACTTAGTTTGCTCAATAATGTAAGCCAGCGCCAGTGTTTGAACCCCTTTCGGTCAGTGCCGTCTCTTCAGGTTTATATACAGACTCCCGGATCACTGCCGCCCCTCCCCTCCCTGGGGAGAGGGTGCCAGAGTTAGCAAATAAAAATACGGGATGCCCAGTCACACTGGATTTTAGGTAAACAACAAAATAGTGTTTTAGTAGTAGGTCCCAAATACTGCATGGGACATATTTATACTAAAAGACAATATATTCTTTACCTGAAATTCAAGTGTAGCTGGATAGCTGCATTTTATGTGAGCAGTCCTATTTTCCGGTGAATGGGGGAGGGGCACACAACTGGGGAAATGAGGCCCCCTGGACCTCCCGGCCTTTGGATGTGCGCTGCAGAGTATGGGTCCAGGCCTGGGCAATGGCCCCACAGTCTGTCCGTCTCTCAGCTCTCCGGGGCCTGGGGTGCTCCCTGGCTGAACCAGCGCCACCGTGCCTCTTGGTGGTGCCGCGGGTCCCTTTGCTTCTCCATCACATCCTCTTGGGCACCAGACTATAGAGAAGAGGGAGCAGGTGGGGTAGAGGCCGAGGCAGGGTCCCCAAGGGTGTTCCTTTCAGCTGGCTGCTTGGGGAAGGCATTCGCGCAGAGACTTAAATGAGGAGAAGGACGAGCTGCACCAGGGTCCGGGGACAGAGATTTCAGGCAGAGAGCACAGGAGGCCCGGTGGGAACAAGCTTGGCGTCCTTCGGAACCTGCAGGAAAGCCAGCTCGCTGGAACAGAGTGAGTGCTGGGCGGGCAGAGATGAGGTTAGGAAGATCGCCATGCCTACCTCTGAATTACTTTCAAAATGATACAAAAAAGAATTTAGAAAGGTCTTTTTTCTTTCTGGACTCTCCTTTTGCTAATGAGAATTAAAAACTCAGCCTGCAGACTTGAACTACAGTGGACCAGGTCTCACTTTGACCTGAGTCATAGCTTCCTTCTCATTCTAGAAGCTTCCAGACGGCCTTGGAACTGGACAGCTGCAAACTAATGGGATTCCAGGGGCAAGTGAACACAGCTGAACGTTTGCAAAACAATCCTGTTACATTAACAAGTTTTTCCCAAGTGTTACAGGAAGCCAGTGGAGGGAGGAGCCAGCCACGGCTTTGAAAGGTGACTTAGGATTGAGACCTGGGCAATTTACCAGAACTCAATGAAGACAACATGGGCTTTGTGTCTGACTAGTAAAAATGAGGTTATGAAGATATAGACCAAATGTAGGGCTTTGTAAAATGATGTTTCATGTCATTACAATAATCTAAAAGTGTATACTTTTAACTGGGTTCATTGTAAGTGACATGGGGACAAAGCTGGAAAGCCATGCCTTCAGGGACCCACAGGCCCAGCCTCTGCGCCCCCGTTCACTGATGACCCTTCCCTGGTGCCAGGTTCTCCTGAATCCACGAACATGCAGATTATAAGGAAGGTGGGATTCTCTTCTGTTCTCAAGCAAACTAACAGCCTCCTTTTTGTTTCTCTTCTGGCTTCTCTTCTCTGCCCAATGCAGGTCCTGGAGTCCCCACTGTGACCGTGCACAACACCACAGACAAGAAAAGTAAGTGCTTTTTTGGTCTTTTCTTAAATCTTCCTGAGACTTGGAGAAAAGCAGAAATGCTTTATGAGATAACCCAGCCACGTTTTCTATTTGGAGACGGAGATGGGTCATGTCCTAGCAGTGCCGAAGGAACCCGGAGATCACGAATTTTGATGAAATGTGGTGGAAGTAAAGGTCAGAGTCACCCAGCCTGGAGGTCCCACAGCCCCCACACATGCCAAGGCCTGGGGGCCATGGTGGGCACGCGGGGCCTTGTCTGCGACACTGAGCAGAACCCACCGCCAGGCAAGCGTGCGCAGCCAGCCCTGGGCTCTGTCGCCTGGCCCTGCCCAACTCTCTTCTCCTCTTAGAACCTCCCACTGGGGGCCAAGGCTGGGTGGGCGCTGTGAGGCTCATCTGTCTTTGTGGGCCTGGGGGCGCCTTCATGGCACGGAGGGGCTTCACATACATGCCACTGCACAGACAAATCTTTCCGGAGACTCTTGAGGAACTCATCGTCCCTTTGTGAAGGACCCCCACGAGGGTTGACGTGTGTATGTGTGTCTTCATGGGGAGGATTGGAAACCACGTGCTCAGTCCCAGGCAGACGCCCAGCAGAGCTGAGAAGGGGAGAACTCGCCCTGGGTTCCTCCTTTCTCCGCCTCACTCTGTCCTATCCCTGAGGAATCCTGCACCTTTCCTCCCCTCTGTGCCCCCACTCCTTCCCCCAGTGGCATCACCCCCATGCCACCCTCCCAGCGGGACCTGCCCTGAACCCTCCCTTCTTCCAGAAAGCCAGACCTTAGAGCAGTTTCTGTGATTCCCTCGGGGCCTGGTGACAGGAAGGACTTGGCGTCTCCTTTGAATCTCAAGGTGTAAGTGACCCAATGCCCGTCTCACTGGGACGGTTTCAAGCACCAAGGAGAGATGATAAGGGGAAGAATTTCAGAGAGGAGATCTCCAGCGGTATATTTGGTTCAAAAGTGTTTAAAGTGTTCAAAAGTAGATAAAGTAGATTTATTTAAAGAGACAATATTTAGAAAAAAATCCCAAATAATGATAGTATTCCATGAAACTATCAAATAATTATTAGAAATTCAAAATTAAAAGATAAGTAGTAATAAAATCAGAAATAAGTAAATAAGTGATTTAAATGCAAAAAAAAACGAAAAAAGGCCAAAAAATGGACATCAGAATAGGTCCAGAACCCACTCAAAACACTCGTGTAGCTATCAAAAGGAGCAGGTGCCGGGAGCTGGCTGTGAGGTCCTCTCCCTCATCCTTCCCAGAGGGGGTTGGTTTTCCGGGTGAGAAGATGTACCTGGCCCCAGGCCTCATCTTCAGCACAGCTGGGGAGCATTCTAGGAGCCTGTGAGATGTGGGGGTCTCACCCTGTGTCCTATAGGGGAAGGGTCCCCGAAGGACTGAGGAGCGATTGTCTGGGCTGCGCCGTGCCCCTTAGCCCCACCTCCTGCCTGCCGCCCACTCTCCCAGGCAGAGGGTTGAGGGCCCGGGAGGAGGCCGGCCAGCAGCGGCGGAACTTCCACCCCAGGCGCGGCAACTGGGGTCTGCAGACACTGCCCCGCACAGCAGTCCTCTTTAAAGAGGGTTCAGCCTTGAATCTTGTTAGCTACGATTTTCACTTTAAAAAATGGCAATATTTCAGAGATCCTCCAATGAGGCATCTTTTTTTCTTAAGAAAATGTGTATTATTCATTTTGAATATTTGTTTAAGACGAGTGCATAGATAATTTCCTGATATTTTATAAAGTTTTTCCCTTCTTAAAAAATCTATAGTCTGATGAAAACTGAATACGATGTGTGGTCAACAGCTTTGCCCCAGCGTCAGGGTCCTGGTCTGGATTCTGCTCTACAGTGACAGAGATGTCACCATTGGGGAAGCTGGGGAAGCGTGCACGGAACTTGGCACTAGTTTTTAAATTTCCTGTGAATCTATAATTATTTCAGAGTAAGTTTTTTAAGCTATGGTCTGATAAAAACACAAAACTATCTCTAGGCTTAAAAAGAAAACCAACCAGGCGCGGCTCCTCTTAGGGAAGGCATTCACGTAAATACTTTTACTTGCTTCTTTGGGGGATGCCATTATTGAATCTCTCGCAGCCGAGGGTCGATACAGTGCCCACTGTGTGAGAATGCATTTTGGCTTTCAACCAGTCGGGCCGTTAGGGATCCTGAAAACCAGGGCTGCGAGAACGTTCCATGAGTCCACTCACCACAGTTTCCCTAAGGCTCACGTGTGAGTGAAAATGAAGCAGATTTATAGCTCAGACATGCATAACGACATTAATAAAATGCTTTATTTATTCTATTTATAAAATACGGTAATGTATGGGTGAGGGGGTACAATGCTTTAAAAGAGAGTTCAGATCAGAATTGACCAGACGCCCTCCAGCAGGTAGGTGCAATGTACTAACGCTCTCAGTGTTCCGACATGTTTTACTAATTCTCCGGGAAACCAAACAACCGCTTCTTCTCACTGTTTGGTTGGTTAGCTGCATTACCCAATCAACCCAGTCAATCTTGACGGACTAGAGATGGTGGGTTGTCTCCCACATTCTCTGTGGAGCTCCGTAAGACCCTCAGATGGAGGCATTTCTAGGAAGCATTTTGCCCTTTGTAGATGGACTCTCTCTTGTGACTGATTCCCAGAGGCAAAGAGACAGCAGCCAGTGGAATAAGAAATAAAAAGCTTCACGCGCACAGGGTGGAGCTGGCATTGCATGTCGGTGTCTGTTCTTCTCCATGTGAAATTTAACAAGGAGCCTGAAGGTGACACCATTACTCTTATCTCAGCAAAGTGCTGATTAACTGGAAACTGGAGCGTTTATATCCTGTGGGGACGAGTGGAATTCTTTTTTATCACATTTATTTTGCAAACTTGTGTATATTGTTGTATTTGAGCTCTGGTTTTCCTGTCGCTTAGTTCAAACTCTGGGATATTTCATCCTGACTTTGCCTGTTTCTGCACTCTCAGTGTAGTTTAGAATTTTTCAGAGGATTGACCTAAGCCACCAAATTAAGTTAGAAAAAGAATGATTGAGTGTGGCTGAGCCGGTTGTAGCACCCGCCCCCCGAGAGGAGAATAGGGGTCTTATCTTGTTTATAAATAAGGGTCTGATTTATATTCAGACACGGGTGTGAGGGGGACCAGGCAGACCCCCTGAACGCCCACTCTCCCCCTGCTCAGCTCACTGCCTGAACTGCCATCCTTGCATATTCATTCCTGTGGGATGGGCCGTCATATCTGCACCAAGGCTTCTTTTAAAATAGAAAAATCTCTCCTATCAGCTCAGATTACACTTGGCCACATGTAACAGAATGCTCAAAATAGCAGTTGCTTAAACTTGATGGAAGACGTTTCTCTCTGTGAAGCTCAGAGGCTGCTGCCGGGTCTTCACAGTTGTCAGATCCCTCCTGTGCCCCGGGTCGGCGTTCCAGGCTGGAAGACAGGAGAAAGGGTAAAGTATAAGGGGGGATTCTGACAGCTGAGGCAGCGCCTCCAGGCTGTCTTCCTACGAGGGCCCCTGACACATCTGTTTCATCTTATTGGTCACAACTTAGTCATGCGTCCCAGCCTGGCTGCAGAGAATGCTGGGAAATGTCTCTTACCTGGCCTCCTTGCCGCTGCGAATAAAATCAGGATTTCGTTACCGAGTGATAGTAGCTGCTATGACTCCACCACCAGAATCTCCGCAGCTTAGGGTATGAGCTTTCTGGGGCCACCATCGCAAAGTAGCTGAACAGAAATTCATGGTCTCACAGCTCTGGAGGCTGGAAGTCTGCGATCAAGATGTCGGCAGGGCTGGTTCCTCCTGAGGCTGTGAGGGAGACTCTGTTCCAGCCTCTCCCAGCTTCTGGCGATTGCTGGCCATCTTTGGCCTTCCCTGGCTCGTAGACTCCCCACCTCATCTCTTCATCTTCACCTGGTGTTCTCCCTGTGTGCAAGCCTGTGTCCAGATCTCTCCCTTTTATAAGGGCCCCCCCATATTGGATTAGGGCTCACTCTGATGACCTCAATTTAACTTGATTTCCTCTGCAAAGACCCTGTTTCCAGATATGCTCACGGTCACAGGTACTGGGGGTCAGGACATCAGCATTTCTCGGGGGGGACACAATTCAACTCACGACACTTAACAGAACAAGGGTTTCCCTCTCACTGACACAAAGTCCAGTCACGTGCTCCTTGATGCTCTCCTAGGAGGAGCCTGGGGTTGCAGGTGCCGTCTGGATTGTGGCTCCATCGTCTTCATGGCCTCTGCTTCTACCATGTGACAGGAACAGAGAAAATGGGAAGATTTGTGGGATTGTTTTTGTTGAGGCTTAGTAGTGACATGTGTCATTTCCATCAGCCAGAACTCCCTCTCGAGGGCCCCCCCCAGATGCAAGAGAAGCCGTGTGCCCGGGAAGGACGAGGAAGCCTCAGTGGGTGCTGGCAATCACCACCCCAGTGAGGAAAGCAAAGGAGGAATCTAAGAGGCAACCGCTGCCTCTGCCAGGATCTCAGTCATCCAGTGGGTAATTCCCGGCCGTTTTTGTGTGATCTGAGCCAGCTTATCAGACCCTTCCCTGTGCCACCCATGAAGGCGCTGTCCAGGAGGACAGGGAGTGGGGACAGTGTGCTCAGAGCGAGAGCCCATAGGAGAGGGGTCACCCCACCCAGGAAGGTTCTCTGACTGTGCTGTGAGCACCAGGGCCCAGCATGGGGGCGTGTGATGCTGACAGGAGAGGTGTCATAGCATGGAACGAGAGGAGAGGGGACCATACAGAGGAGGAGCAGGGGGTTGTAGAGGTGTAAAACTTGAGACCTGATCCTATGCTACAGAGCTTAGAATCCGCCTCGGACATAAAGACACAAAGAAGGAGCATGGAAAATGTGATAATAAACATACAGGAGAATCACAGGGCCGCAGGAGGAGAGGAGCCCAGTTCTGGGGTGCACTCTGCTCAGCCTCGCTGCGCAGGCCGGGGCAGTATTCTGCAGGCTGGAAGGACAGAGCTCT